TGATCTTTCCAGCCAAGCGTTCTATGTATCTGCTCCTTAAGCAAGTGTTGCTATCAAAAGGATTGATGCATCCATTCATTGGTGAAACACGGCTTCACCTTCTGGCATTAGGAAACCAAATAAGGCCACTCTGGCCTTGGTTCCTCCTTGAGCCCTGGACAGGCTTGGGGAGAAAACTAAAAGTGAATTAAATCAGATGTCCCCTGCGGAGTTGCGTTATTTGTATGTTTTATTATCACTATATTATGTATTGGTTTATTCCTTTGTACCCCCATGTACAACTTGGTTTGCTCCCAGTTTTCCTGCCTTGTCCTCCCTTCCCGCCTTTCCGGTATCTATCCATCACCCTGGAAGAGGCGCAGTCTTTCCCTTTACCCCTCCCAGGTGCCTTGTCTATCACTCGGTGCTCCTTCCCATCCATCCAGAAGCTTCCACCTTGGGCACCGGGTGATTGGGCGAGGGCCTGGGGCCCCTCCCGTATCCTTCTCCCATGAGTCCACATGTGCATCACCCCATCCAGGAGCCACTCCCTACCTCTATCCCTATTGGTTACCGGTTTTCCCCTCCCTTACAGTTTATAAGCCGGTGCGAGCACCTTGTGCTCGTTCCTGTTGGCTGGCACCGTTCCGGAATATTTGGCCCCGTTGGCCACAATAAACTTGGACTTAGCCCCCAACAGGATCCGCTCTTCATTTATCGCCGCGAGGCTTGCCAGTGCTGCCCGGGACCCACGAAGGCACTCTCCAAACCCCAGCTGGGAGCAGCGGAGGGTGCCTCAATTGCCCACTCTCGCCCCAGGAGGAGAGCTAGCCGGGGCTGAGAGCACAGGGATCTGGGGCGGGAGCGCGGCAGTCCCCTCAGCAGGAGCTCTGTCACACTGCTCGTCCAGCACGTTCAAAGCTGGGCTACTCTCACAGTGCAGTTGGAAGCCTCGTGGCCGGCAAAGGTGGAGGCACTGTGGGATTTCCCAGTTCCCAGCCGTGGCTTTCTGCGGTTATCATGCTGGCATGGTAGTGTGGAGGAAGGTTTTAGAAAGGCCTTGGGAATGGTAAACTGAGGAAAAGGATACATTCATGTATGTCCCATTGTTTTAGAAAGGCCTTGGGAATGGTAAACTGAGGTAAAAGATACATTTATGTATGCTTCACTGTCTCGGGAAAGTCCCGCTTCAGCATTCCTCTGTAAACCCCCTTCTCCCCACCCCTGAGCAGTTCCTATTGGACCTGGCCCTTGGGGTGGTTCTGATGTGCCTTAGCTGGACACTGTCTCTATTGTTTAGACCGTATCTCTTTATTTTGCTGTATAAAACTGTATCTGGGCAATAGCCCGGGGCCTTTGGTCCCTGCAACCGTTCAGGTAATACAACCTCTCTGGACAAGCATACCA